TCTTGCGGCTGTCCCGCGCCGCTCCTCCGTCTGGTTGACTGGCTCACCACCGCCGCCGTTGCCCGCCTGACGGCGCTCGACGTGGGCATCGTGGCGCCGCACGCGGCCGGGATGGGCGACGATGCTGCGGCGGCTTGCGCGTGCAGCAAAGTTGGCACGTACGCGCCGCACCTGCGAGCGCCCGGTGCTGATGGGATCGCCTGCCGGCCCGTCGTCTGGACGACGGGCGGCCGCCTGCGCGAGGAGACACGTCGGCCGCGGTCGCGCCCATGGCGGCGCGGCAGGGGGGCGCCGCCATCGGTGCTGCGATATGGCGCCGAGCGGCGCGCATGATGGTCGTTGCGTGCGACCCGAGAGGATGTCGGCGCCCTCTTGTCAGGGGCTGGGGCCGCCCACGCAAGCAGCGCCGACAACGCCGCCTCCGACTCGGATCCGCCGGTGGAGCCGCCTCCAGAGGTTCTCTCTGGCTCCTCCTCGCCCGCACCCTCCTGCCTGGCGTCGGTCGCCAACCCTGCCCGCCTGTCCCCCGCTCTTGACTTCCTTGTTCTGGGGGGCGCGGCGTTGGCGGAGGCGCTGGCCCGCGCGGCGGGCGAGGCGGGCACGGCGGCCGGCCGGCCGAGACCGCGGGCGGCGTTGGAACTCGAGGGGTTCGCTTGGCGCGCCCGACCTGGGCTCAAAGCTCGCGCCGGCGGCGGGGGCGCTGGCTGGCGGGGCGGGCCTGGAGGCGGGTTCGGCTGCTGGCGGCGAGGCCGCGGGCGACGCCGCGGGCCTCGCGGCGGCGATCGGGGGGCTCGCTGGCGCGGGCGGCGGCGCAGAGCTCAGCCCGGGCGCCGGCGCGGCCCCTGCCGAGCGCTCGCGGGCCCGTGTCGTGGTTTTTCGCGGTTTGTGCGCGGGCGTGGCCCGCCGCGAGAGCCGTCGTGGGCGGCATTTGTTCTTCTCGACGTTCCCGACTTTTCTTTCTGTTTTGCTTTAATGCTTCGTCGTGCGTTGATTTTTCTGCATGTCGAATGGTCTTTGGCCCATCCCGCCACCGTGCCTGGGCTGTGGGTATGAAGCCAGTTGGATGTTCGTTGGGATATCATGGGGGGCCTGTCGGAGGCATGTTGGAGGCAGTTTGGGCGCCTCTCGGGGGCCTTGTGGGGTCTCTTGGGGGCCTATTGGGGTCCTCGTGGGGCCTCCCGGCCGCCTCTTGGGGGCCTCCTGGAGAAGCTGCGCGAACAGATCTTATTCACAGCGCACAAGAAGCCTATACATCGCCCACAACACCACGATTTCCTTTAAAAGGGGAAGGCAATGGGAAACAACTTGGGAAGGGGGCAGGAACGAAACACACATAACTACCCCCCTGCGTTTTTTGGCCAGGAAGGGCGCGCGGGGCAGCGAGAAAATAGGGAATTCGATTGGTTCTTGTCGCTTCCTCCCAAGCTTTCCCGCTTCCCTTTCACAGGGAATTGTGTTTTGGGCGATTCTCGATTAACACATTGATTGCCATGTCTGTGGGTGACACCTGGTATTTTTTGGCTGCCTTAGAACAGGCTTCTCTTTTGTAGACAACTTATACGTCGATTATTCTAAGTGTGTGTGTGTGTGGAAAAACCCCCCCCCCCCCCCCCACCCCCCCCCCCCCCCCCGTGTGTTGGCTTTGCACATTTCTTCATTGCGCGTGTCACACATTGAGTACATTCATGCGGTTTTGCAATCTTCGGCGGGTAGCTTACATTGCGGTTGCCATTCTGTGCATTACATATGAGTTCCCATTGTGGGGCTGTGTCATAAGATTGCTCTCGTGGGCGATTTAAACAGGGATTCGTTTGCGCGAGTGAGCTATCAAATCCTTTCGCGCGGATTCCAATTTCTGTTGCGGGTGATGCACCTTTTGATTGCAGTAGATAGTGCATATTGCAAATTGAAGTTTATGCTTTTTTTGTTGGCGAGTAACACTTTGATCACTACTAGGTGGTTTACATTTTGAAATCCTTCTGCGTCGCCTTTACGCGCACAGTAATTCAATTCGAATCCCTCTACGGGGCGGGGGGGTATCGAATTCCTTTCGTGGGTGGTTTGAGATAATTTGATAACGAATGGGGTGCTTTGTGTGACTTCGCAGTGGAACCCTTTCTGAGAGAATTGACATGCAGAGTTCTGTTGTGTGCGATGTGCCTTCGACTTCCGTGTATGGGCGGTGTGCAAGTTTATTCAAATTGTGCGGGGTATGAGGGTTGGTAGATACATAGACAGGTGCATCGCTGTATGTAAAGCTGAACATATAGATGTATGGAACGATGCATCGGTGGACGTGCGTCTATATATATATATATTTATTTATATATATATATATATTATACCAATATATATATACATATAGAGAGAAAGAGGAACAGAGAGACAGAGAGAGAGATGGGTGCATCGACACGTCGATACACATGTGGGGGGATATATAGGTGTAGTGATGGGCCAGTTAATGTAGACGTGCTTCGAACGACGTAATGTAGACGTGTACTTCAGTGGATGTGTGAATGCCGACAGACATGCATATATGTATAGACACGTGTGTATAGCTATACATGTGTATACATATGTATATACATACCAGCATGCACATTCATGCGTAGGTGAGAGCAGATGCGGATACGCATGATCATATCTGAATCGGCGCATCTGGTATATGATGACAAACGGGTTGTATGGATGTGTGGTTTGATTTTTATTTGTTCGTCCATACATACATATATACATATGTTTGTGTATGAGCGTACACATACACATAAGGGTCGGCGGGGAAGGAGTAGTGGCGTTCATATGGCCAGAAGTGTAATGATAGTTTGGTTGGTGGGTGAATAGGTGTATCCATCGAGCTATACATACATTGATGTATGCAACATCGTTACATCGGTAGGGGGTGTATGTGGATATACTTATACATGATCCCAGCGATGACATAATATATGCACGTTGAGATGGACATTCAGGCATCATACGGTTCATACGTGATGTGTTCGTATTGATTGATTGAGATTCGTGCGTCAACGGGAATATTCACATACATGTAATTCGGTTGAATGATACAGCTTGCATATATATATACACATATCTATAGATTGAGCAATATATATAGAGAGACAGAACAAGTGATAGAGAAACAATCCATTTCGACCCCTGCGCGTGTGCGTGGAATGCGCGAAGGTAATCGCTGCTCTCTCCGATTGCCCACCCTGTGTCACGTGTTTGTGTGTGGGGGAGTGTAAGAATGTAAAGGAATACCCGCTGCTCCCTGCCACGAGATAGCAGCCTTTGCCCCCTTTCCCAGTTCGCTCTGTGCGTTGCGTCCGTGGAGACAGGAAGAGAGAGAGAGAGAGAGGGAGAGGGGGAGAGAGAGGGAGAGAAACCACCGCTCCCTGCGATTTCCTCGTCTGCGTTGTGCGTGGAGAGCGTGAGGGTGACCAGTGCTTCCGCCCAATGCCCACTTTGTGTAAAGCGAGAGAGAGAGAGTGAGAGAGAGAGAGAGACAAGAATAAAGAACCAGCAACAAACACTGCCGTCTCCATCGCCCCCATCAATTTCCTGGATGCAGGGTGCGAGCGCGAAAGGAAGAGAGAAAAAGTCACAGAGAGAGAGGGAGAAAGAAAGAGAGAGAGAGAGAGAGCAACCGGTACCCTCTCCCACTTGGCGGCGAGGTAGAAGGGGCGAGGAGGACCACGCAGAAAAAATGAATTACGCAGAATCGAAACTCAGATCTGCCGGACGAATGACATCATCAGCGGTAGAGAGGCGAGAGATCGACACAGAGATGAATGAGCAGGAGGAAGAGAGAGAGAGAGAGATAGAGAGAGAGAGAGAGAGAAAAAGAGAGAGAGAGAGAGAGAGGGAGAGAGATAAACGAGAGAGAGAGATGTTCGGCTTCTACCAGTACCATTATCGTTCTCATCGTCATCGTCATCGTTGTCGTTATTACCTTCAGTGGTATCATCGGCATCATCTTTGTAACCATCACTGATTTTATCATCGTGAGCATCGACACGATGCGGTAGAACAGATCACAAACTAACACTCCGCAGAGAAAAAAACGTGGGAACGCCGGTTCGTGGGCGGGCAGATGTTGCTGCCACGGCGTTCGCAGCCGGGGCTGCGGCCAGTGCAGGAGCCAGCGGGAGCAGGCGAGACAAGATTCGACTAATTCTCGTGGCTTGGCCTGGTGGAGAGAAAACCCAAGCCGACCGCGTATCCATGGGATCGCGGCCTAGAATGCGAATCGTGAAAGTTTGGATATGGACATGCTCGACTTTCGATCGTCCTCGCTGGTCCAAGGGCCTAACTGCGTTCGTTCGATTTTATTGTTTCAAGCATCCAGCGAGTCCGTGACGCCGTGCTCCTACTTCGTCTGGCGTTGCCGTGTGCCTTGAACGACGCATCTCCGGAAGCTGTGGCCTGCCTATGCTTGCCATTCCCAGAGCTGCAGCGCGCTCAGAGTGGACATGAATATGGAATTCTCAGACCAGTGCCATTCCATCAAACTACCTGGGACTGGTTAGCCGGTCCGGGGTAAAAGCCCTGGGGGCAAGTGCCCGTTTGTTTCGGAAGTTGCTAGAACCCCCACCCTGCCAAGTCGGTTAGTGCTTTGCCCACTCTCGGATCTCGTGAGAGCGTTGCGGCTGCATTTCTGTGGGGTTGCGCCCGCCAGTTCTGATTCTGGATTGTTTTCGCCAAAGGGTGTTTTGCTGAATTGGGGTGATGCCAAGATGCCAGTCCCGGCAGGTTCAATTCAGTATCAGCGCTGGTATACCCTTGATCGATAATTGCCCAATCAGGCACAGCGCAGCTTGATTGCCCCGCTAAGCCCGCTTAGTCCGGCTGAGTTGTGCTAAATCTTGGGCTCAGTTTGGGCTAATCCAGCTGGCACGCCAATTGGGCGCTGTTAGCCTTAATCGTTCTCACGAAGACCCCCCAGGAGTTGCCTCCCAAGTTATGTCCACCCCCATCTTTTGCCTTCGTGCCCAAGCGAGGATCCAGACAGCGCGGCGGCGAACAGCACGGCCGCGCTCATGTGTGGCCGCCTTGGGCCCACTTGCCGAGGGGGGACACGGTGACCATGATCAAGATGCCGCGGGAGATGTCTAGGCCACCTATATTAGATCTGAGTAGATGGGGTCGGAGGACCGCGCCACATCGCCGTTGCATCGCCGATGCGGCTCGATGTGGAACCCGATTTTCTCCACGCCGACGTCGCAGATGCATCGCCAACGCATCACCGATACATCGGCGATGCGGTGTAACCCTCCGACCATCTACTCTGACATCATCTACGAGGCCCCTAGAGACACGATGGCAATCACGTAGATGTCGCGGACTGTATGTTCGACGCCCATCTTGGCCATGGTGTGTATGAGAGCCGTTGCCGACGATTCGCGAGGATGATCCACGAATCGACGATCACCGACGTGGACGACGACCAAGATCGGCACCGGCATTTCCGCGCCCAGCCTTGGAACTGCTCCTCCTCCCTCCTCCCTCCTCCCTCCTCCCTCCTCCCTCCTCTGCTCCAGCGTGGGGCTGGAGCGGACGGGGCCGGAGGCTGCCGCGGCGCGTCGCGCGTGCGCCTGGGCGGCGCGGCGCGACCCGGGGCCCGATGCCAGGCCTCCGGCATGGAGTTTTCGGAAGGCGTCTCTTTCTCTGCTGATTAAAGCTGTGCAAAAAAATGCAAAAAACATGTTTTTTGTTGCAATCCTTCGTTCAAGGGTTTTGTTTTGCGATCCTTCGGTTTTTTTGCAATTGCAGTCCCGCTTAGCTTTCAGCGGAAGAGGTTCGCTCCCGCCCCGCAGATCAAAGATTTTCCCAGTGCGACCCTACCAAGGAGTTGGAGCATCCAGGAACGCAACATCCACATCTACACCGACAGCTACATTATCATCTACACCTGCATCTACGTCTACATGAACATCAACAGCGAGACTCACATCTACATCTGCATCTACACCTACAGCTACACCTACATCTACATCTACACCTACATCCACATCCACATCCACACCTACATCTACATCTACATCTACATCTACACGTTCGCATTGGTATTGCTTTTGCTTTGCATTGCATTGCCTTTGCTTTTGCTGTTGCTTTTGCTTTGCTTTTTATGCTTTGCTATGCTGCGCTATGCTATGCTATGCTATGCTATGCTATGCTAGGGTACGCTCGGCTGCGCTTATGCTAGGCCAGGCTATGCTATGCTGCGCTATGATGTGTTATGTTATGATATGCTGCGCTCTGCTATGCTATGCTGTGCTATGCTGCGGTATGCTATGCTAGGCTAGGCTATGCTATGTTATGCTATGTTGCGCTAAGTTATGCTATGCTATGCTGCGCTATGCTATGCTATGCTATGCTGCGCTGTACCAGGATAAGCAATGCTATGATATGATATGCTATGCTATGCTGCAATATGTTATTCTATGCTATGATATGCTGAGCTTTGCGATGTTATGCTATGATTGGCTATGCTACGCTATGCTATGCTATGAGGTGCTCATGCTGCGCTGCGCTATGATGCGGTAAGTTAAGGTAAGTTAAGCTAAGCTAGGCTAGGCTAAGCTAAGCTAAGCAATGCTAAGCTGAGCTGAACTAAGCTAAACTAAGCGAAGCGAAGCTGGGCTAGGCTAAGCGCTAGGCTAAGCAAAGCTAAGCTAAGCTAAGCGAAGCCAGGCTAGGCTAAGCCAAGCTAAGCTAAGCTAAGTTAAGCTAGGGCAAGCTAAGATGAGATAAGCAACGCTAAGCTAAGGGGCCGTCACAGGGGGAACCGTGGGGCGGATACTGGGGGAACCGCCCGGGGCGGTTTCCATTGCCCAGCCCTTTAAGCACACACGGTAAGAACCCTTCTCGGCAGAGCCAAGGTAGGGAACAAAACATGTTTTCGGAATGCGTGGCTTTTGGACCCTGTTGATGCCTGGCCTCTGGGCATGCGGCAGCTTTTTCTGTTGACACCGTTTGCTACGTCCCTGGTGGTACAGCCTTTTGACGCTCCCAGTGGCCAGGAGCTGCCCCCCTGGAGGCCGAAGATGGTCGCAAACGTAAGTTGTTTGTTTTCTCTTCTCTTTTCGTCGCCCCCGGTACCAGTCCGCGGCGCACCTGCTCCTGCACATCCACTTCGGCACCGCCTGCACCCCTGGGCTTCGCCCACTCCGGCCGCTGAGGCCCCGCCTTCCTGTGCCCTGTCTCCCTAATTAAAGCTGTGCGTAACCCGCTTAGCTTTTAGCGGAAGAGGTGCGCTCTCGACCCGCGGATCAAACATTATTTTCTCTCTTCAGGCGCTGGAGGTCTGCAGTCCCAGCGCCGGTGCGTCGTTGTTGCATCGGGCGGCGCGGTGCCATCCTCCAGCCCCGTCCACCCCGAGAGCCCCTGCGAGGCAGCCTTCGTCGGGAGGAGGGGGCGTGTTCGTGTCTCGCAGGCGTGAGGGCTTGGCGACCCGCCTCTTATCGACTACTCGCGGGAATGAAGCCAGACACACCGAGATACATCCAGAAGTGAGTCGACGCAAATCTAGGCAGGTTGGAGATAAAATCACATGTAAATTAATGTACACCCATGTGCATCATACGTGATTCGGCATGAGAAGCACGTGCATGAATCGGTGTAGCTATAGATCAAGTTCAAGTCTGTCCAGATCAACTTCGAGTGAGCTCGTGCAAGTTCCCCAGCGCGAGTCGAGGGACAGGAGACTCGCTATGGCCGCGAGCTTTGGCTCAGCGTGTCGCTCCGCCAGTTCCCAACCGTAGGCTCTCAGCGGTCGTCCGCGGCCCTGCGCGCCGCGTCGCAGTCGTTGCCCGCGGCGCGGTGGGACCACCTGGCTGGATTGACCTCCATTCAAGCCCGTCCTTCGCTTGATCTGCTGCGCTCCAGAGTTGTGAGCTCTTTCTTGCCGTCGTCGGTCGTCGTCGGCGTCGTCGTCGGCGTCGGCGTCAGCTTTCGTCGGCGTCGTCGTCCATGTTGTTTTTTTCACCGTCGTTGTGCGTCGTGGTCCGCCTCCCTAGTCGTCGCGGACATCACTAATCTGCCGGACCCGACAGGCCCGAGATAGCTCCAAGATGCCCCAGTGAAGATGCAAGAGATGTAAGGATGGCCCCAGAAGAGCTCAAGACGGCTCCAAACTCTCCCCCACTCCCAAAGAAAACGGTGTAAGCATACTTTATCCGACCTCCGAACGTTTGATGTGTAGGCAATTGTTTCTTCTTCTATCTACTTCCTCATCAGTCCCATCGTGCAAGAGCTAGGGCACACGTGCCAAGTGGATTTACACATAGCTCATGATATGTTTGTTCGTCCTATGTGTATATAGGTATTTATCCATATCCACCGCCTGGAGGGTCAGTTTTCGGAGCCTCGGCAGGCGGTGGATATGGACATGTTCGAGCCCCCGGGGGCCGAAATATATCCATATCCACCGCCCGCTGGGGCACCAGGACGTCGGTTCGCAGGCGGTGGATATTGATAAATCCCCGCCTCGCAATCAGAGGACTTGGGCGAGGAGAAAGGATGACGATTAGCGGGCGAGCATGATGAATAGAGGAGAAGGAGGAGGAGGAGGAGGAGGAGGAGGAGGTGGAGGGGAGGAGGAGGAGGAGGAGGAGGAGGAGGAGGAGGAGGAGGAGGAGGAGGACAACGACGACGAGAGGAGGAAAAGGAGGAGGAGGAGGAGGAGAAGGAAAAGGCGGAGGAGAAAAACGAGGCGGGCGAAAGGGGACGACGACAAAGAGGACGAATAGTAGCAGGAGGAGGAGGAGGCGGAAAAAATACGAGGAGAGGGACGATACAACATACGGGTGGCTGAGTGGGTGGGTGGAGGAGGAAGAGGAGGAGGATCCAGGGGGATATCCGGATCGTGAGGCGGAGGAGAAGGAGGGGGAATAGGAGGAGGAGGAGGAGGAGGAGGAAGAGGAGAAGGAGGAGGTGGTGCAGGAGGAGAGGCGTCTGAGGAAAGCGAGGGGAAGGGCGAGGAGGAGGAGGAGGCGACTGCCAGAAGCACAAACAGGGATGCGCTTGATCAACAGCCCAGCGCGGAGCGCTGTGGCAGCGCGCTGGACGGCGGCAGGGAAGCGGCAGGAGAACACGCCACTCCTCGCGCGTGACGGTACAGGAGAGTGCCTGGAGAGCTCCCCACTCTCCTGCGCCCGGTCTGGGTTTGGGTTTGCTGAGTGCCCGTCAGGGCTGCTCTGAGCGAGGATTTGCTCAGATTCTCGGTGGTGAGCAAGGACGGGTCCTCGTTGGTGGAACCCCTGGGCAGGGCTGAGCGAAGGGAAGAACCCCGACTCAAGAGCCGAGCATGTTAAGGATAACGAACACGCGGACCTGTCCAGGCAAGCACCGGCCATACTACTGGTCCGTAGAATAGCCATCTTTACCCTCCATCCTCGCCCCGTTGCCCTTCGTAGCGCTCCACTGAGATTCGGACACCTCGGGGGCGGCACCTCGAAGGAGAAGCGACCTTGCCGGGGCAGTGGTCCACGGAGGCGCTGAGCGAGGAGGAAGAGGAGCAGTAGGAGGAGGAGGAGGAGGAGGTGGAGGAGGAGGAGGAGGAGGAGGAGGAGGAGGAGGAGGAGGCACCTTGGCCATATAGCCAGCCGGCGGCCCGTGGGGCGGGCGCCGAGGCAGCCTCGCGAGCTTCCCCTGCGCGGACCACGTGCTGCGGGTGAATAGCTGGGAGGACTCGCCCGTGCTGAGGGGAGGCTCGAAGATCGAGGCTCTTGGGCGCTCACCAGCTCCATTGTTTTTCCGCTCTTCGCCGCTGCCTAAGGCTTGCGCGGACTGTCCTCCCTCGTCTGGTCTCGAGGTGTTGTGGACGTTTTTGGCCTTGTCTTAAGATGCAACCCCTGGGGCGTCAAATTGAGCATCGGCGGTAGTATATCCGTGATCGGCCTAATCCCGGCCCAATCCCAGCCTATTTCCGTGACCGGCGTATCCCATGATCGGCGGTAAATGAGCCGAACCCGGCACAATCCCGATACATCAGCTTCAATTCAGCTTAATCGGGTGCAATCCTGGGCTCGATCTGGACGAATGGCTCCTTCATTGGGCCCAACAGTTTTTGACCGTTCCTGCGTAGACATTCCAGGGGGACACCGTTCCTTTTATCCCCCGGCGATGACGGGCGTGGCTGGGGAGGGGCGGGGGCCCGGCGGGGGAGGGCCGTTCACGCCACGATTCGCGCCGACGCCGTGAACTCCCGCACGGCACGGGCGCGAATCGGGACGTGACCAGTGGGGGTGGGGGGAGGGGGCTCACGGGGGTTGGGGTGGGGGTGGGTGTGGGGGTCAAGCTAGCCAGCTCGAGCGAGTCAAGCATGGCATGCCCGTTCCCACCCGCCCTCCCACAACATAAGAAACAGTGATGGCACAACTGGGGCTGCGCGGGCATTTCAGTGCGAGTGGAGGATACCCCAGGACACCGCATTGACGTCCGCGCGGGATGTGCGCCGCGTCCCATTCCCGCCACGTATTTCGCATCGTCGACGACAAGACTGGCCATGTTGAAAGGAACAACGTACACGTTCCGCCCTCCCACAGCATAAGAAGCAATGCTGGCGCAACTGGGTGCTTGCGCGGAGTAGTAGTAGTAGTAGTAGTAGTAGTAGTAGTAGTAGTAGTAGTAGTAGTAGTAGTAGTAGTAGGAGTAGTAGGAGTAGTAGTAGGAGTAGTAGTAGTAGTAGTAGAAAGAGTAGTAGTAGTAGTAGTAGTAGTAGTAGTAGTAGTAGTAGTAGTAGTAGCAGTAGTAGTAGTAGTAGTAGTAGTAGTAGTAGTAGTAGTAGTAGTAGTAGTAGTAGTAGTAGTAGTAGTAGTAGTAGTAGTAGTAGTAACAGTAGTACCAGTAGTAGCAGTAGTAGTAGTAGTAGTCGTCGTAGTAGTAGTAGCAGCAGCAGCAGCAGGAGTAGTAGTAGTAGTAGCAGTAGTAGCAGTAGTAGTCGTAGTAGTAGTAGTCGTAGTAGTAGTAGTAGTAGTAGTAGTAGTAGTAGCAGTAGCAGCAGTAGTAGTAGTAGTCGTAGTAGTAGTAGTAGTAGTAGTAGTAGGTGTTGTTGTTGGTTTTGTTGTTGTAGCTGTAGTAGTTGTAGTAGTAGCACTAGTAGTGGTAGTGGTAGTGGTAGTGGTAGTGGTAGTGGTACTCTGTATTGTTTTTTACAGTCAGGACGGGAGGGCCCGCAGCCCGCATGGACGTCCGCGCGCGATGTGCGCCGCGTCCCATTCCTGCCACATACTTCGCACCGTCGGCGACAAGGCAAGCCATGCTGAGAGGAAAAAACAAAGACTTTGTATCGATTTTTTACAGTCGGGATGGGCGGGCCCAGATTGACGCCCGCGCGCGATGTGCGCCGCGTCCCATATGTGCGCCGCGTCCCACTGCTGCCACATATGTCGCACCGTCGACGACAAGGCAGGCCATGCTGAGAGGAAAAAACGAAGACTTTGTATTGATTTTTTGAAGTCAGGATGGGCGGGCCCAGATTGACTGCCGCGCGCGATGTGCGCCGCGTCCCATTCCTGCCACGCTTTTCGCGTCGTCGACGACAAGAAAGATGATGTTGAGAAGAAAAACGGCCACTTTGTATTGATTTTTTACAGTCCGGATGGGAGGTCCAGGATTGGGTTGCTATCGGCCGGAATACGACGTAGGTGGGGGTATATAATAATAAGGAACAAGGATGTGGGTGTGGGTGTGGGGTGTGGGTGTGGGGTGTGCAGTGTGGGTGTGGGTGTGGATGTGGGGTGTGGGGTGTGGGGTGTGGGTGTGTGGCGTGAGCGTGGGCGTGGGCGTGGGCGTGGGTGTGGGTCTGATTGTGGGGGTTGGTCATCACGGCCCTCTTGGCCGCCCCCGAGACGTACCCCCTCTCCCTACCACTCCCAAGATCGGCTGATATCGGACCCCCAAGCATCCGGCGATGTCTTTTTTGCTGTTGCAGTCCGCCCCAGAGAAGGCCTCGGAAATGTTCCCTGGGGGCCCAGTGAACGGCCCCTGCAGGGCCGAATCCACTGAAGAACTCCCGGATCGAAAAACTCAAGACATCGGATGACTGGGGAGCACACTCCACCTCCATCTCCTCCTCCTCCTCCTCCTCCTCCTCCTCCTCCTCCTCCTCCATCTCCTCCTCCCCTCCTTTCTCCTCTTCCTCCTCCTCCTCCTCCTCCGACTCCGCCTCCTCCTCCTCCTCTTCCTCCGCCTCCTTTTGCCCTTTGCGTCTGGCCTACACCGTTACATTCCCGCCACCGCCCGCCGCCGCTACCGCTGCTACGTGATGCTCGTGCAGCGGAGAGGAATGATAGAGAGAGAGAGAAAGAAAAAAACATAGAAATAGAGAGAGAGAGAGAAATAGAGATATTGAAAAATAGTGACGCAAACCTAGAGGTCTCTGTCGC